CCCCCAAGTGACATACTTCAAAAGAGAGCGAAGAGATGTTTGGGGTGGTCTCAACAGGGGAAAAAGTGGGTGGAAATGGCTCTGGGCAGCCAGGAGGGCTTTCCCAGCCTTCCCAAGTGCCAAAAAACCTCCCTTTCCCTGGAGGAAGGGAGGCAGAGGCTCTTCAGTTGGGTCACTGTTCTGGGATGGGGAAAGCCAACAAAGACAGGCTTTTGGGGAAGGGGGAAAGGGGCTCGGCTGGCCGGGCTGGGCCTCTTCCACCTCCCCTGGAGCAGTGCCAGGCAGTAGGCGGACAAGCCTGTGTTCTACTCCTGTGCTGCCAGCTGCTATATATATATTTAGTTATATCTCTCCGTATAACAAGGGTAATGGGGTGCTGGGACATTGAGGGAGGCCGACGCTCCAAAGGTGGGTGGTTTCCATCCATCATCTCCCTGCCCCGTTGCCCAAAAGCACTCCCTTTCTTCCTCCAAATGACCAAAATTGAGGCGCCAAGAGCCTGCAAGGCTTCAAGGGGTATCCAGAGTGGAGTGTGAGAGGGGGGTGACACTCGCTGCCCTCCCCCATCCCTCTCCCAGCTCCCCCCCTCCCCGCCTGTCTCCCCTCTCCTCGCTCCCGCTTTCCTTCCTCCCGGTTTCCTGTTGCATTCCTGCCTTCTTCTTGCTTTCTTTTTCATCATCCTTTCCTGTCTCCACTGCCTTGCCACCCCTCCTGATTTCACCCCTCTCTGACCACCCTCTCCACCCTTTTCCTTCTCCTCCAGATCCACCCCCTCCAGCTCTACAAACTGAGGAATCAAAACTTTCAGGATTTACCTCTTCCGAACCAGGGTTAGTTTTTTCCCCCGTCCTCCGGCCGAAAAGTTGGGAGATACTCTCCGTGGGCCCCTGTAACTTGCTCCGAGGGTTACTGGCACTACGTCCCAGAGTGGAGGGGTGGAGAAAGAGGAGGCATGGCTCCCTCCCTTTTCCCACGGCTGTCCCCCCAAGGCTGGCTCTCCCAGGCTGACGCCCCGATGCCTTGGGAGAGAGGGAGCGAAGCTGGCGGGGAGGGGATGTGGGAAGGAGGAGGGCGGGCTGCAGCACCGCTGAGCCAATCCTCTTCTCGGCAAAGAGACCAGAGAAAATGAGATTTATTCCAACTATCCAGGACAGAAAACTTCAGGAACTTCTCTGCCGCTCTCCCCCTCCTCCCCACTTCCCCAGTGACATTTCCTGTCCTCTGGCATCGGCTGCCTCCCGCTCCTGGGCGGCCACTTCAGTGGATTAGGGAGAAGGGGGAAACCTAGGTTGCTGGCTAACCTGGTTAGGGGAGCCTGGCCGGGGAAAAGGGAAAGGAATTTGCCCCCTTTGTGTGTGTGTGTGACCCCTCAAGTATCACATAGGGTCATCCCATCCCATGTGGGGTGGGAAGTGCGCACCATGTAGCGCTGCCAACCAGGAATGGGGTCTGGGGGTGGGTGGTCATGCCACGACCTGTGGGTAGCATTGGGTTGAACATTAGCAGGATAACAGCCTCCCCAAAGACCATAGGGGCCAGGTCGGTGTTCATTACAGGCTCAGGACAAGCGTTACAGGGTCAAGACAAGCATTGTATCAGTGGCAGCATATCAGACCATGGGGTGAGGGGGTGGCAATGGGTAAATTCAAGGAGGTGGTCTTTGGTGGCACCAGAGAGGGTTTGTGCCCACATGTGACACACCATATCCTTCTGGTATCATGTTTCATTGCTTTGTCGCTTGATGGTCACAGGGCAGAAGACCCTATCAGTGTCAATGAGGGGCAACCTTCTGGTGGGCATGGCATCACCAGTGCCAACAGTGACCCCCATAGCCTTCAGGCAAGACTCAATGGCTCTGCTGGGGAGCACTTGGTCAGGCAAAAGCACCCATTCAGGTCCCTGTGGAGGAGAAGGGAGGTGTCTTCACTGGTGAAGGCATGACAAGACTTGCTGGGGTTAAGCAGGGCCTGGCTGAAGGGACGACAAGATGTCTGCAGAGGAAATGTCAAAATGGAGCCTGGCCTCTTGCTGGGCTCAGGTGGCTCGTGCTGGGGTGCCCAGGCAGGAGCACTTTATTGCTCGGAGGTTTGCTAAGCAGCAGTAGGGTTTTGGCACTGTTCTCAGCCTTTCGGCCTCAGGCTTCTCTTCTGTGAAATGGGATAGTTAGGGTATCTGCCTTCTGTGGAGCTCTTCTTCATTAGGAATTAAGAAAACATGGACTGTGCAATTTAATGGTAAAGTGGGTCTATGTCTTAGAGGGAGACGGAGCTCAGCTCCCATGAGCTGTGCCACCAGAGGTGAAAGGAGGAGAAATCATGACCTGCATCTTCCCTGCTTGCTGGAGGTATGGTAGGCATTTCTTCCCCTATGTCCTGCTCAGAGGAAGCAAATAGGGGTGGTGGGAGAGGCAGGAAAAGACTCTTTCTT